AAATCATCAATTTAAAGAGAATTTAAACCAGATGAAACAAGAAAAACTTCTGAAAATTAAAATTCAAGTAAAATCAGGATACTCTCAGATAAAAGATATCTTTATATAATGAATGGCATAACAGTGACTCTCACTTATGATTGTGTGTAGGAAAACATCCGTTTGGGCCCCAGGAGGTCACATAAAAAGCAAAGCAAATTCCAAGTAGCCCCAAGTTCTGAGCTCACAAGCTTAGTGTATGTGTGAGGTTAATGTGTGTGTGAGGTGCTGTGGTCACCCACTGGCATTACCGCTGTACCTGTGTGTGTGTTCTGGTCAGATGTGAGTGTATAAATCTGCTGTATCCTGGGTGTGTCTTGTATTCTGCGTGTGTTTGTACAGTATGCTCACAGATACGCAGCAGTGATTGTGTGTGTGTGTGTGTGTGTGTGTGTGTGTGTGTGAGGACGAAAGTGAGAGTAAGAGTGAATGTGTTTTTCTGACCCCTTTGGCTAGTGTGTAAGGCGTCATTGGCATCCCTCTTTCACCCTCTACAGAAGGCAGTGGCTGTGAACTCTGACCCCCCACCCCCACCACACACACACACACCCTTGATCCTCTTGTGTTTTTTTTTTTTCTTTTTTGCTGTATCCTCTCTCCTGGCGCTGCTTACATCTTCTGAGGTTTGATGGGTGTGTATTTGAGCCAAACACACACAGAACTCATGTGGAAGCAAATGTGCGTGTACACACACACACCTAGATCTAAAGTTGACAGGACTGTCTCACACAAACGGAAAATTTGTTTGAGGGGGAGAGTATTTATCAGGGAGGCAATCCAGCAAAACATTTTTATTTTAAATTATCTACAATCCATCTCTGACACTTATTCTTTCAACAGATGCTGGGAGCAGCTTGTATATCGATTTGTAACTAGAAATAAATCCAGACAATAGCTAAAGAAACTTTTAAATCCTTGGTTGAATCGTCCTTAAGTTTTTACTATCTGACTATCTACAAAATTGGATATCTAATACTTAGTTCTGCACAACCATGAGTATGGAAATGAGATTTTCAGACAATGCTTGGCCCAGTATAGCTTACAATAAAAGGCTGGTTTTCTTTATATATCAAGAAACAATGTGAACCACAATGAAAATAAGCCCCATGGCTGTTTTCGTTATCCTGACTATTTAACCTTTTTAAAATCTTGGCCTGCAAGCGGAGCTGTAATTTCAAATTGTAACAGTCAAATAAAATAAAATCAAATTAGGATTGCAGACAATACTTTATGATTCTCAAAAACACTTGAGACTAATCTTGTCACATATGGTAAGTCCTTGCATTAACAGTTCAGACAATTGAGTTTCCTACATTAATCCCAAAGACAATAGTGGACAATCATGTTTAAGTAGGTGTAGTCATACTGCAATTACATCTTGGGAATGAGTCAATTGAAAAACACTTACAAAATATTGTAAAAAATAATAATAATAAAAAACGACTTGGAAAGTATATGCCATCTGCCTTCAGGGTTGGACAAAAACTTTAAATGTTGCAAAAAAAACCTATACCGATTTTCCATCCAACAAAAATCAAAGAGTCAAATACTCGGCCCACAGTCCAGGGTCTTCTAAATCAAAGTTAGCTGGCCAGACAAACCGCTGCCTGTAACCACTGTCAACCCCTGTCTAAATGCATTGGAGTGTGAGTGCTGGAGTATCAAGAGCCTGTCCTCAGGAAAACCACCCAGACGTGGCTGGCCTTCACTTAAGACTCCCTCCTCTCGTTCTTTCTTTCCTGCTTTCCTCTCATTTTTTGTTACTCTCACCTCATCTTTACTCTCCCCCTCTTTCTGTCTTATTTTTGTCCTACTCTCTTTTTATCTCTCCCGACTCACTCCCTTTTCCTTCTATCTCTCAGTTTTGTTCCAAAAACCCTATTCATATCTTCTCCCCCATCTCCATCTCTGTTTCTTTTGCTCTCTGACTCTGCTCTCTCCGCCCTCAGCCTAAACGGCCCCCAGTGTTGTGAGATCTGATTTCCCTGTAGTCAAAACTGCAAAGCCTCCTGGGACCAGAGATCCAAAAGCAAAGAGTGAGCCATAGAGAAAGAGAGGGAGGGGGATAGAGAGTGTTGCGCTGCTGACACACGAGACCACCGTCGCTTCACTGCCGAAGCGCCAGGCTCAGCGGTTAGGGCCAGAGAAATTGGCTGGCCCTCTTTCCACTTCTCTCGGAGCGATATTAAACACAAACAGAAGGGGCCTCGCCATTGAAACAAAGCCCTGATGTCACGCCACTTATTTTCCTTGGAAGGCACCAGGAGCGCTCGGGCCAACCCCTGGCGATATGAGATCCCGGTAAGAATGTGCCTTGTATGACTGGTGGTGAGGCCTCTCGCGTCAATCAAACCGACCACAGAGTTACTTCTGGTGATGCCTGATATTCTTACAGCTCTAAGGGGAGCAGACACACAAGTCTTTGAGGTAAAACACACAGTTAGGATCTCACAACCGCCTCTGCTTGTGTGCAAACACACCCACTGCTATTGTGCTGTTAACTGCGATTCTGTCAGCAATTAAAAATAAGAAGAGGGAAATGTTGAACAGACAAAAGGCAGAGCATAAGAGCTCTTACCTTATTTTTTTCTCTGTTTCTTGAAGACACTGTGAGATTGATTGGTGACTGGGGAGGCCAATGTGCAGCGTTAACAACCCCAACTAGAGCTCTCGCCATTCAGTCAACCCCCAAGGGAAGACAATGCCGCAATTTCCTAAATTACAAATTGACAAAGGGGCCTCAGACCACGCCATAGCTGTCCAGATATCTGACTGGCCGTTGGACATTAGTGCTAATTTGACTAAAATCCAAATGATTAGTCTGTAATTTTTGACCCTCCTGAACATCAGCAGGTTTTTTTTATAGCCATGGCCTACTTTGGTATAACCCTTAAGCAGAGAGAAGGTGATGTTGGGGTGATCTGGGTGTGGGCAGCACTGTCTGAACTGCTATATTGTAGCCTGCCAACAGCCTACTCCAGTCTCTGACCGGCCTGTCCCATTAGGACTGAGTAGAGAATCCCTTTAGCTGGCCTCTTTTAGTGTCAAGCTGCTATCGATCTCAGGAGTACACATAACAAATGAGGTTTTGTCTTTTTCAGCAGGTTTGCAAGGGGAGGAGGAGGAAGAGTGAAATGGATCAACTGCCACTGAGCTGGCCCAAACAGAGGACGGAGGCTAAATATTGTACTGGGAGGGTTTGTTGTGTCCAAGATAGTGAAAGAGATACACAGAGAGGCATGTTGCATAAAGAAAACCATTATTTCACTTCCAGTTCTCTTTTCTTTTACAGAACAGATGCTTAGTTTTTTAAGTCGATTGCCTTATAATCATTTTCTGACAAAGAAAGTCATATGTTGGCAACAGGGCAGAAATTATGACTCTGGGGCACAAAAGTTAGTTCCTTACCATCGTCTCAATGCCTCAGACACTGAAACAGAAATAGGCAGAACATCGAGACAGACAGCGAGAAATGTCTTATGATTTCAGCAAGAATGTCCGCTAAGCAACTGTATTTCACTCGCATTAGTAGCGACAAAGGAAGCCTTTCTTCAGCAAGAATCCACTGTTTGTGAAGGGGTCTACTCCAAGGCTCTGGAAACAATTGGCCCGATCCAGTTCCCATGCCGATAGCACAACATTTGTGCTGTCAAAATTGTTAGGTCAGGTCATGATGAGTCAAGCACAATAGGAAAGCTTTTGCCAAATATTTTTGTTATCCTGCTTTTGATTTGATAGGTTTTTACGATTGATGAAGAAGGAAATTATTTGTTATTGCTGTTACTTTCTCCACCTTTATTGTCTTGTCCAACGATTTGGAGAAATGGCTTGTTCTTGTTGCTTGTGCAGGTTTATTTTCACTGCCTGAGAATATGCCCTGCCTGTATGCCAATATGCTTGCTTGACCATCAGTGCCAGCCAGCTGTCTGAAGGCGCGCTACGGGGCAGAACTACGAAACATCTGGAGGAGTCTGGCTACAACATCTGCCCATCCTGTACTGAGCACAGATCTGGAATTAAAATGGTTTAATGCCAGCTGGTGTCTACTTGACTACAGTATGTAGCAGGAGAGATTGCTAACGTAGAACTAACATGGTGTAATTGTGTAGTTACAATGATTTTTTATAGGGTAATGCGCAGTTTCACACACTGGAGTTAAGGCCATTGTGAAGTGAAGGGTAACTGAGACTAATAACTAAAGAACACTTAAAAACAAGTCACAATGTGTGCACTGGCCTGCCACGTCAAGATATTATGCCTTTACAGTAGTGGCTTTTTTAAATTCCAACTGACTGACCAAAAAGAAAAAACACTTTCTATTGATTACGAATGATGGTTAATGACTTATTATTTTTTGAAACTACATAAATTAAACCATATATTTACCTCACCCTCACCCTCTGATCCATTTTTCTTTTTTTTTTAATGAGTGCAACAGTGCATCTGGCCTCAGTTCACACATCACCAAACATGACAAACAACAAACAGCACAGAGTCAAAGGGTCAAGGCCAAAGGCAAGACCGGAGATAGTCTTCATGCATGATAAATAAGGGATGAGTAAAGAAACAAGAAGTTAGTGGAAGTATGTTAGCAAGACTGGGTAGAAAAACATCCATTCACAATAATTGTGAGAAAACAGCTTTTCAATGCTGTCGTTGTCCCTCACCTCCCAAAGGCAGAGCCCATAAAGAAAGCAGAGCCAGAACTGAGAAAGAGAGGAAGAGCCACTCTGGCACTACAGCGTAACCGCAATGGCTACATGCAGGCCAAAGGGCTTAAGATAGTGCAGGATGTAGAGAAATAAAGTGGTTCTGTTCTACTCATCAGTTTTTTTGGAAATCTGTTACATCAGAATCACGTTAGTTCAGGGTTTCCTGCAGAAATTTTTAGCTCACTAACTTGAAATAAAGACCCCCGCTAACATCAGGAGAAGTGATTACACTATAATAATCAAGCCGGTGTGCTACACCACACAGCAATGGCCATGTCTGTAATTGTTGAGAATAGATCATGAGACAAGATCTGTTAGGATCTGTTAGGATAGGTCAGACTCAACTCAGCTGTCATTGATGGATCACATCATATGTTAGCTGTACAGTAATTATTCAAACCAGTATTTCACAATGCTGAGAAAAACAGAAAAGTTGGGAAAAGTAAAGGCAAATGGCTTAAAAACAACTTTCCTGAGGGAAACCCTGTAGTTGTCAAACTCTCAACATTCAAACAAGCAGCTCACATACAAGATGCAACCTATGATACATACAGGGGTGAAGGTAAAGTGTTGATTCACTTCAAGAAGCTGAACCATATCAACTTCACAAGGTAAGCATTTATTTCAAGGCTGTTAAACTGGATAGCAGCACACTATGCAGGTGTTTTTATTATGCCCTTCCTATCTAGACTATGTAAAGTAAATTTTTTTCAGTGCTGCAAACGCTACTGTACCATGGAGTGCCAGGAGTGCTACTGGCAAATTCTTGAGATGAACAAGTACAACTCATAAATATCCTCGTGATTGCTTTTGGCGTAGGCATTGTTGTCAAAACAATGTCCAAACATGTGCTGAAAGCCAGCGCCTCCATCTCACAAAAATTCCTCAGATAATCATACATTTTTTTTCTCTCATAAACACTTCCCCACGCTCACTGTCTTCCTCCCTTTCCCAGTCTCCTACTTGATTTCAGCCAATGCCGTGATGCGAAACTTCCTCTTTCATTCAGGTTCCTCTCTGCCTCTCATTCTCCACGTCTCAGGCAGTGTTTAAATGTGAATGAGTTTGCATCTCCGACATCATTCATCCTCTTACCTCTCACAAGAGTGAGAGGTAAGAGACTCTTTTGATCATTTCAAAGCTAGGAGGGGAGATAAGCTGCGCCGAGGCTCCAATCCCCTCAGCACAGCATGGCGCTTTGCTAAGTCAATAGCAGCTAATGAGGGCCTCGATAAGCGAAAACCACAATTCAAATTGAATAACAGATAAGGATTCTTGTATCATCCAAAAGCCATGCTATGGTAATGACTGACATGATGAAGCAATATTGTTTGCCAGTGAAAAAGCTTTTGAGGGCTTTTGTTCTTACAACTGATTGTAGGTACAGCAGGAGGGGTGACGGGGTCGTGTTGTGAAATTCCAAACCGCCTTTAGGGAGTAGCGATTTCATTTTTCTTTTCTTTTTTTTTTTGTTTTTGTTTCATTTTTTTTCTTTGCAAATATGTTCTATGATAACCATTATGGATAAGTGCTATTCTCAAACCACAGGTGTCAAGCAGCAATAAAATATTTGATGAATTGCCTGGGCCAGGTGTTGTGCTGGTGGGGCGGAATTCCTCTGTGATTCATCATAACGGCTTTTGTCTGACACAGCTGACAGGCACCAGATAAGCGGGCTAGCATGTTAGCGTTGGCATATAGAGCTTCGTCTTTAATCAATGTGTCATGTTGTTTTATTGAAAAAAGTTAACTCCATTCAAATTTGTTAACAAATAAGGCTGAACCAATGAATGCATGCTAGGCCTCCTCCAGCTTTGACTTGTATTTCCCACTCCTTCAAACATCATCATTTTGCTCTTGTAGATGTTTTTTTGTGGTATTTATGAAGACATACTGCAACCCAGGGCAGCTGAGAATATTGGTTAGTTGTACAAAGAACATCCAGAAATGATGATGGTAGAAGGCAAAACTTTATTTCTATCTTGGTGGTATTTTTGATAATCACAGTTTAACCTTCTGTTGGTGGCACTAGCATTTTTAACAGTGCAGTCATGATGATTATCACTTCTCATGCAAAATAGTTGGTTCTTCTTTTTTTATTGTGTTGCCAGTGGTTCTTTCCTAAGTAAAATCTACAAGACACTCTGCAGGTTTAATAATAGCCTTGATCTCATATAAATATAAAAGGTTTCATTCTCATATAAATATAAAAGGTTTCATTCTCCAGGTATAGATGAAATCCCTATTGTGTTGTTTGAGTCTGCAATGGATAGGAAGCATTAAAAAGCGTTTTAATTTATGAAAATGTTACAGGTTTTTTTGCCTACTTGAACTCAGGGCGAGGTTAGAACAAGTAGGAGTTTCGTTTAGTTTGCCACACCTCCTTATCTTGACTGTCGTTTCTATTTATCTACTCATTTTGTACAATTGTCTTTTTTGTCTGGCTTTCTGGTTACACCCTCAGGATTAGATCCATATGTACTTTCTCAGTTTACAGACCTTCACCCTTATAGATGTGTCTTTGTTCGTGCTGCTGTTCTGAAACTTCTTTTCTACTACAGTTGTTTATATGGTTGTGAAACACTCACTTGAGTTATCATCATAGATATTGAAGAGGCACTTCATTAGATTACTTTTCTGGCCTTTACTCTGACACACTCTCCAACTCTAAATTTATGTAACCTCTTTTTTACAATGCCATGGGACAATAAAGGATTAAGGATAATGATAGAATAAGTTGGAAAAAACATTTTCTTTAGTTTAGGTTTAAGGAAGTAAAACAATTTTGGTTTAGGAAGGACTCATGCCTGACACAACAAAAGCAATTTGAGGTTTACATCCTAATGGCTAAATGTAAAAAGAAACCAAGAAAACTCATATTTCCTGGGTGCAATTTATTTATGAGTTGAGAAGTGAAGCCAGGTGAAACCGAAGCATCTCACACACTTCATTGTGAAACAATACTGCTTACTGTTTCCACCGTATCATCCTTTGGCATTAGTCACCCTTTTCATTTTAAAGGTTAGTTCACCCAAATTACAAATAACTCTTTCTGACTCCTTTAGTGGGAGCCTTGCAGACAGTTTTGGTTATTGTGGTAATTTTGCTGAAATTTCGGGAAACCAGGTGTTTTTCGTCTTACCTGTAGTTGTAACGGGCTGAGTCCAGACGCCGCTGCAGCTGCCATTGTAGATGGAATGAACTGCATGGGGTAATTCTCACCTGTTGAAAAACCAAAACAACACATATTGTATAGAGAGGTGGGGGCACAAGCGCTAACCTGCTCTTTACCTTCAGCCAGCCTTCTCTTTCTCTCTGTCTCGCCTTTTGTCTCCTTACTTGTTCCTCTCTCGCTTTCATGTTTTTATTCATGGCCATCAAAACATAAAGGGTCACAAGTGCTTTAATAACACTCATTGTCGGTACACATGGGTGCTTGAGACCAGGGCGAGCAAAGTTAAAGTCCAGCTCTCCCTCATTGGGATGCACTCATAAATTCATATACGAGTACCGTGTATAACCCCTACTGTTTGTGCCTAAAAGGCTTTCCATGTCCGAGCCTTTGTTGAACACAGACCAAAGTCAAAGGAGAGTGTAGAATAATGGCTTTTTAATCCCTTTCTTCATTTCTGTCTCTCTTTGCAGTCTTGTGGGAGTGTATGTTGGTGCAGTAGGAATAAACATGGATTATTTTATGAAGTATGGAGGGTCAGTGGAGCGTGGTGTCAGGCGAGCACCTGGAGGAATGCATGGAAGAAAGGAATGTGTGAAGGACGAAAAGAGAGGAAGAAAGCAGGTGGTGCCGCGAATCCTGCAATGAGAAGACTGTTTACTGTTTATTCTTGTATGTCTTCAAGCGTTTTGTTGTGTCAGTTTGTGACCAATCCTTATGGATTGCTTAAACATGCAATATGCATGCAATTCTTTGCATTCTTTGAGTTTGTCTGTCTGCACTATCTTTACATTTTTTGGTCAGTGTGTACAAGGAGAACATGCTTGAGTGTGTGTGTGTGTCTGTGTGTGAGAAAGTGTGAAATTCCATGTTGCAGTTGTGTTGTGCAACTGACATGCTTTCAGCACGCCATAAAAGAGACATTCCAGTTCTTGCTGTGTCCAATGTATTGTTCCTGACGTGAACAAGCAGGGCTTGTAAATCTCCATGCTCATTTCCAGAACATTCCTCACCTGACACACCTCATTAACATAGACTGGGATCCCAGTGTTTGTGTGCATGCATGTGTGT